GGGAGGCAGAGCCAGGCGGATCTCTGTGAGTTCGAGGCCAGCCTGGGCTACCAAGTGAGCTCCAGGAAAGGCGCAAAGCTACACAGAGAAACCCTTTCTCGAAAAACCAAAAAAAAAAAAAATAAGGAAAGAAAAGCTGGCAAGAAACAAGCCAAGCTAAGGCCAGGCATTTATAATTAAGAATAAGCCTCCATGAGTGATTTATTTGAAGCTGGGTGGCATGGCCCCCCAAAAGAGCAAAACCAACCAACTACATTTTAGTGTTCCAATGTGGGGCTAGAGTAAAAGAAAATCTAACAAGCTATCAAATCTAACAAGCTATCTGCCAGTAGTTTTCCATATATAGCACATTTTAAAATGATTTATTTATTCTCTCTCTCTCTCTCTCTCTGTGTGTGTGTGTGTGTGTGTGTGTGTGTGTGTGTGTGTGTGTGTGTCACAATGTACTTTACCACTTGGTCTGTGATGGCTGATCTTGGTTGTCAACTTGACTACATATGGAATCAACCAAAAATCAAGCTGCTGGGCACAACTGAAAGAAATTCTACCTACTTTCTCAGTATGATGGAGACTTCCCCATGTGTCCATAGGGAGCTAGTTCTAGAATAATTCATTCACTGTCCCCTTGGGGGTCCCCCCATTCAAACAGTCTCCAAGTCACACAGCACCATTACACAGACACACACACGCACGCACGCACATGCACGCCTTCTGAGAACTGCCCATTGTTGACAGGAGGGTCACAGCACTCACCAGGGCGCACAGATTGTACCAGCACAACTCGATCCCCACTGACTGTGAAGCCAAAGCCATGCTGGTCCTTTTGGATGATGACACAGCGCTGAACAAGACCTGTGGGGTGGAAGATAGGATTTGGGCAGGCAGTCACACTGGAAGGTCAGTGTCTCCAAGCCAGCCAGTTTCTTTTTTAAGTAGCCTCCCCAGACTAACCCATTTCCCCAGATTCACCCTGTCCACATACGCTGCTGTAATATATACCATCCCCAATGACTGGTAAACACCTGTAATCGACTTTCTTTCCTACAAGGGAGGTGACCCTTCTCTAAGGTGCTGAAATGGTTGTCCCTTTAGGCTTGTATGAATGATACTGATTGAGGAAGGGGTAGGGCTAAGTCCAGCAGTACTCCTCAAGTCTAGTATTAAAGATAAGTAGCCCTGTGGGTTGACCAGAAATTTTACATTGTTATACCCAGTGAACACAGCAAATGGGACTCCAAAGCTTGTTGACTGATGTTACAGAGCTGGATAACTTGTGAAGATAAGTTAGGGTTGTTTCCCTGCCAAGTCCAGGAATGATAAATGTCAGGAGAAATCCTCTTATTCATATCAATATTCATGCATAGACTAAAAAGGGAGAAGGAAAGGAGAAAGGGGTAGTGGATACAAACTGTCTTTGCCATGGCTTTTTACCAGACACTGTACAATGTGATAGCACTCTGTGATGATAGGGGCATTGGCTCTAGAGTTAGAATAGAACTTGTTTCAAGCCTCAAGTCTGTCTCCAATAAGTGTGAGGGTGGGCAAGCTTCCTAACTTCTCCATGCTTCAGTTTCCTTATCTGCAAAATAAGAATATAAAACCCACTTCCTAGGTTGGCATAAGGAGACAACTGATATAAAACTCCTAACATAAAACCCAACACACATATGTGTTCAACATAAAGTGTAGGTGTTTTCCATGTGGGTGTACAGGATTTCTCTGTTGGGGTAGACACCTGTGTCTATGTGCTGATATCAATAAGGCAGTTAGTTACCTGTTGTCTCGGAGGCGTCAGAGGGCTGGCGGTGGTGGGATGGGGACGTGCGTTCAGGTGTAGAGTCTCCCAGAGAAGACAGGCTACTTAACCTGGAGAAGAAATAAAGAAAACACACCAGTAAGCTGGGCAGGGAGGGACCAGTGGAAGAGGCTCTGTTAAAGGAGGCCCAGAGTCTTGAACAATGACAGCCAACCCACCCACTTTGTAACCTGGTCATCCCAATAGGAGATTAATCATGTCTATGCTGCTGGCAACACCACCTATCTGGAATCCTGGCTGGGCAGGGCTAGAATGGTCTCTTTAATCCTCAGCAGGTATGAAGAGAGTCAGACAAGAGAGAGAGACAACAGCAGGACTGTGCCAACATCCATGTGCTTGCTGGGTCTTACCAGGCTGCAATGGGGCTGATGGAACAGAAAGGAGCAGCAGAGAAAATGAATGCAAGGAAAACAAACAGCTAGTTAGTGTTAGGTGATGATCTGCAAAAGAGGAGGAGACTGGAAGGGCATGGAGGGCCGGCACATACAGAGGCCTCTCTCTATGAGCACAGCAGAGCATTGAATGGCTTCATCTCTTTGTCCCTGAATATCTCACCTCTCTAAGGAGGCACCTGGACATTTAGAACTAACAGAACAGGGAAATGGCAACCTGAACAGGAGCATACCAATAGCCTGAGCCTCTGAAAAGTCAATTTACCTTCTGGATACCATGGAAGAATAGGAGTCTGGTCTATTGGTGACCATGTACTCCAACCTCACAATCAGACCATCCCTACAGCTAGCCTGTGGTATCCTGCTTAAAAATTAAGACCCCAAACCCTCTAAGTACCACATATCACCAACCAATAGATTTATTTATTGATCTCTTCTTTAATTAGGACTGATACAGGAACAGAAAACAAACTTAGAACACTGCTGTAGCTTGGCTTTTTAGAATGAGTTCAAGTTCACAGCTCCAGAATCAGTCGCTGCTGCTCTCAGGAAGGGACAATTCCCATCCTAGCTGTAAATAGTGACTAAGTGGAAGCTTATGTACAGAATCCCTGTGCACAGTGAGAGCACCAGAAATGATCTCATATCTATATAACAATACAGAACTTGTCCTTACAGAACTGTGTGTAACGAATGACCTCTATGATGCTATTAAGGAAAAAGAGATTTATGTGGGCATTTCAAGCAGTAGATAAAAGGGGAAAGATGGTATGTTTGCATATTTGCTATATATGCAAACATCTAGCATATCTTTGCGGGTATAAAAGAAACAACATTGGTTGTCTCCGAGGTGGGAAAGTGGTTGCCTGGGGAATAGGCACAGGACCGGAGGGAGACCTCTCATTATATTCTTTTTGTGCTTAATTCTGAACTCTGTGAGGATACTAACTTTTCAAGAGAGCCAGACGAGGTGGTAGACGACTACAACCCTGGCCCTGGGGAGGCTGAGGAAGGAAGACTGCTGAGTTCAAGGCAGTCTGGCCTTTTCAGACTGGCCTGGGTTATACTGTGAGACTGTAGTGTCAAAACCAAAACAGTATTCCCTCCTCCCCAACCAACCACTACCACCACCACCACCACCACCACCACCACCACCACCCTACACAAATTTAAAAAACGCCAAGCAGGGGATCTTTCCACCAGAGGCATCCCTCTTACCTGGACAGGTGAGACTGCTTTTTACTGGCTGATCTTTGGGTCAGAAAGAGGAAGACATCAAAGAAGAAGGACCCAGGAGAGAGTGATGCAGGACAGGAGGAAGAAAGAGAAAGAAAACAAAACAACATAAAACAGACAAGACACTGGAGATGGTTAGTTCAAAAGAAAAATCTCAATAGAACGAAGGACCAAGCAGAGCCAGGAGTTGATAGTCATGAGCTTATTATAATGCAAATTCACCAATTTGTCTACTTAAAATTCATCAGAGTCTCATCCTGTACTCAAGTAAATACTAACCAGGCCATTAGCCATAGCATCGGGTTGGCAGCCCCCTGCCAGAAAGGGCCTCTTGGAAAGGGTTTGTCAAGACTGTCTTTGGTGCCATCTGCTCCTCTGCTTTTTGCAGTGTACCCACAACATCCTCCTCCCAATCTCAAGCTGGCTCTGAATCTACCCAGAGACTTCCAGAGCAAGTCCATTTTTCCCTTGGTACACCCTGGGCCTCCTCTTACCTTCTTCTTGACTCTGGAAGGAAACTGGCTTTCCATATCCCTATCGAAACTGAGATTTTGTTGTTGTTGTTGTTGTTTTGTTTTTTTTGAGACAGGGTTTCTCTGTGTAGCTTTGTGCCTGTCCTGGAACTCACTCTGTAGACCAGGCTGGCCTCGAACTCATAGAGATCCGCCTGCCTCTGCCTCCCAGCGCTGGGATTAAAGGTGTGTGCCACCACCGCCCAGCAAAACTGAGAAGATTTATTTGAACTTGGAAGCACTTTTCTGTCTATATGTCTATAGCATGAAGACTCAGTCATAGCATGAAGTCTAACACTGAGTTCAAGCTTAGCAGGACTGCATTTGAGCTGTGTCATGATCAGGGCTACAAAACTGAAAGCAAGTGTCAATTATCTACTGAAGAAGACTGCTGGGGGCATGGGCAAAGGTCAGCTGACATGACCAGCCACTATAGGCTCTACTAAAAAACCGAAACAACAATACACGACAGGGCCAGTATGATGGAGAACAAGCAGATTATCACATTAGGTCCCCACCCCCAACCCCTGGACCTCCAAGGATTTTGGCCTGGTAAACAGGATTGTTATTGGCTAAACAAAGACCTAAAGGTGGGTTTCTGCTTACCAGGAACTTCCCTTAAACCACCAGGAACCTCCCTTAATCCTACCCAAAAAGTCAACTACTTCCTATAAGGGCATCCAGTTCCCATCAATCTGAACAGCCGGTATCAGCTCAAAGACCCCACCCTGCTGGATGTCACATAAAATCCGACTGCTTTTCCACCACTTTGCTCTTCTCTGTTACTGATAAATAGCCTTGGCAGTCTGATCACCAATAAACCTTTCTTTCTACCCATGGAGTGGTCTAATTTGGTGGTTTCACTGTACCACTGTACCCTTACCTATGTGAACACATACTTTTTTTTTTTTTTTTTTTTTTAAACTAAGAGCTTAAAGAAGGAAAATGAGAGATGAAGTGAAGGAGGAAGAAAGGCCTGTTAGGCAGGCCTGGTAGGTGGAAAGAGAAAGTTTGGGTCATCCTGGTTTCAAGTCCAAGTACAGATCTGGGAGGAAGACTTCAGGTTAAAATATGAGAGACCAGGGAGGAGGCAAAGGAGAGAATAAAGTAGTCTGGCATGAGACTGAGGTGGTCAGAAGAAAAACATAGCTTTTGCAGGTCTTTCCTCCATAGAAATGTAGCACCAAAGGTCAGGTTCCATTTAGCTTCACCCCGGAGAGTAGAGATTTCCACTCAAATATGCACTCTCCAGAGACAGGTTTTCTGAGGCAGATTATCCAACTAGAGACTTCAAGGTCCTTTAGAACCTTCTTCTAGCATGACAAATGCATTTCCTGTTTCTATGTGTTTGCTCTTCACTCACCATATTTGATTGAGAGTAAAGTTTGCCTTGTTCAGAAACTTCAGTTGGAACCCCTATTTCTAACACTAGGGACTGTCTTTTTTAAATATGTTATCAATGACCCCTTCAGTAGGTACATTGCCTCAAGCCTGAAATACTGGAACAAACCAACGAGCTACCAACAAACTACCACTGCCAACTCAAATCACCTCATTTCACTCTCCCACTCTGGCACATCATTCCCTCAGCCCTTCCAGAACACGATTCCTCAGCCTTTACGATACACAATTAGATGTGTGAATGATACCTTTCATCAGGTGGCCCTAAAACCTTTGAAAATTCATCCCTGACTACTGCTCTACATTTAACAGACCTAAGAAATGCTATGTTCACTTATGGCCTCTACCCATCCTCCATCATACTCCTTTTTAATCGCTTACACCTCTTCTCCTCTCCACCAAGTTACCCTGGTCCATGTTTAGTTCTGAATAATTTCAAGCAGTACTAAAGCTGAAGGAGCAAGAGGGTAACACTCTTCATCTAGATCCGTGGTTCTCAACCCTCGGGTGCCGCTCCTTTCGGATCGAATGGCCCTTCCACAGGGTGACACATCAGATAGCCTGCACATTAGATATCCACATTACAATTCCTAACGGGGGCAGAATTACAGTTCTGAAGTAGCAGGCAGATTATTTATGGTTGGGGTCAGCACAGCATGAGGAAAGGTCGCAGGGTTAGGAAATTGAGAACCCTGCTCCAGACCCACCTGTGTCACACTGTTTGCCAGCCTCTCCCTTCTTTCCCCTCCCCTCCCTCTGTTTTTACAAGCTTTACACTTACTTATCTTTTGGGAGGTGCATGTGGATGTCAAAGGGCAACCCGTGGTATAGGTGTGCATAAAAGTGCCTGTGCCAGTGCATACACATGGGGCGGGGCGGGGCCGGGCAGGGCGGGGGTAGTGGTGCAGAGGCTGACATCTATTGCTCTCCACCTTGTTTTGGAGATAGGAACTATCATGGAACCTGGAGCTTACCAATTTGGCAGGGTTGGTTAGCCAGCAAGTTCTCTGTACACCAGAAGTGGAATTAAAATTACACTGGCCTAGCTGGGCAGTGGTGGCGCATGTCTTTAATCCCAGCACTTGGGAGGCAGAGGCAGGAGGATCTCTGTGAATTCGAGGCCAGCCTGGTCTACAGAGTGAGTTCCGGGACAGCCAGGGCTACACAGAGAAACCCTGTCTCGAAAAACCAAAGAAAGAAACAAGTAAACAAAAACAAACAAAAACATAAAACAAAGCAACTACAACAAAAAAAACAAACGTGTGCTGGCTTTTCCATGGGCTCTGGTGATCCTAACTCAGTCCTCATGCTTGCCCAGGGAACACTGCAACCGAGTCGCATCCTCAGCCCACATCTGCTTCTTCTTCTTCTTCTACATTATACATTTTTTCTCATTTAAAAATGAGACATCATTATAGAGACATCATGACGTTTTACCTTTAATTACTTTAGTGTATACATACTAAGTACCTTGAGAGACTCTACAGGAACTGCCGTCAGCATGCCCGATAAGCTAACTTTGATAGAATATTATCTAACATGGGGTAGTATTCCAGTTTCCCATCTGTCTTATCAATATTCTTTACATCTGTCCCTTAACCGCCTCAATCTATGATTTAACCAAAGCTCTTAAATATACATATGTATGTATACACACATACATATTAATAAAATACATATATAGACTCCCTCCTCTCTACCTCTGAGTCCTCTACCCACTTATCTCCTATAACAATGACATCTTTTTCATGTTTGTGTCATATATGTATGGATGAGTATGTTTGTACATGACTGTGGAGGTCAGAGGTCAACATTTGGCGTCTTCCTCAGTTATTCTCATCTTATTTTTGAGATAGGGTTTCTTACTGAACCTGGAGTTCAACAATTCAGCTAGGCTGTTTGGCCAGTGGACTCCAGGGATTCCAATGTCCCTGCTTTCCCAGAACTGGGATTACAGATCTGTCAGCTCCAGCTTTCCACATGGATGCTGTGGCTCTGAATTCAGGTCTTCACATTCGCACAGCAAGCTCTTTACCAACTGAGCCATCTCACCACCCCCACACAATATTTTAAAGTCCAAGTCAGTTGTCCTGTTGAATGAATGGCATACGTTGGGGAAATGTCTGATGTCTCCTCATGATTAAAATCAGGTTAAATATTTTTGTTTGCTTGGCACAGAATCTCACTCTGTATCCCAAACTGGCTTGGAACTCACTATGTAGCCCAGGCTAGACTAAAATTAGTTAACTTCTTGCCTCAGCCTGCCAAGCATTGTTATTGTAGGGATGGGCCACCATGCCCACCCAAGCTGAATATTCTGACACACTGTAAGTGATGTTGGTAACGTGAGAGCATCATGATTACCTGAGACTTCTCATCGGTATAAATCTATTCTTTCCTTTTAAATCGGCTGTGTTTGGAGAATTCTGTTCTCTAACAACCACTTACCCAAGTGTTTATATCTGTTACTATTTTTTTACTTTTAGAAAGATTTCTTTCTATTAATGTGCTGTCTGTGATTCTGCCATGTGTATGAAGGTGACCATGGAAGCCAGAAGAGGGCCTCAGCCTCCCTGCAGCTGGAGTAACAGGGGTTGGTTGTGAGCTGCCTGATGTGGGTGACGGACGAACAGATGGACGGACGGACAGACAGACGGAGCTGAACTCTTCCCGGCTGAGCCATCCCTCTAGCCGGCTCTCTCTACTACTGCTCCTCGTCTGAAACACTTCCATCGCTCTCTTAAGCCGATAACAAGTGATCACACCAATGTTTCCTCCCTGAAGTTGCACAGTCCAGTCCATTAGCCTTTACCCCCTTGGTACCTTCTGCATGCTAGCCCATGGCTCTACCATAGAGCTGCACCTGAAATCTCCTCCCACCATTTAAAAGAATGTTTAAATATTGCCTTCTCATCCCATAAGCAGTCTAGGGCGACTTGTGAAAATGTCCCAAAAAAGCATAAAAAAAAAAAGTTCACATCTTCACAATTCCTTCAAGAATACCCGTGCAACTACTGCCTAGGATGCCACAGGTATGGGTGACACAAAGCCACTAGGTTTCTGAAAGATATTTCTTTAAGGAACCGTTGGCTGATATGGTGG